CACAGGGTCGTGCTCATGCCGACGCGCGAGATGGTGCCGAGCGGACCGTGCACGAGCTCGATCGCGTCGTCGCTGCGCTTCGAGCCCGCTGCGCCGCCTCGCTCGCCTCGCGCCCGCCGCGCTGCTGCTGCTGCTGCTGTTGCTCCTCGTCTGCGCCGGCACCGTCGAGCTCCTTGCCCGGGCTGCGCGGCGTCGTCGCCGGCGTGTCGACGCCGACCATGGCCGAGTCGTCCTTGTCCTTGTCCGTGTCGGCCGCCGTTGCGGTCGCGCTCGGGCTCGCCGCCTCCTTGTCGTGGTCGTGCTGCTTGGCCTGCTGCGAGAAGGCGCGAGCGAGGTCGGCGGCGGCGACGGCGACCGACGTCTCGAGCGAGCTCGTGCCCGCCGTCGTGTACGACTCGGAGCCCCACTCGAACTCAAAGTCGTCGCCGCGCAGCATGGCCTCGTGGAAGTCGTCCTCGTCGGCGCCAGGCGAGGGCGAGTCGGCGGGCGGCGACAGGCCGGCGCCGACGCCGGCAAGCGCGCTCGACGACGACATGATGCCGCCGGCGCTCGTCGTCGGGCGCGAGTCGCCGCCCGACGCCGACGGGCTCGACACGTCGTCCATGATGACGTCGGGCGGCGACGGCGCGTTGGCAAAGTGGTGCGAGAAGATGTTGGGCGCCGAGACCGACAGGAGCGGGGCCGAGGCGCGGCCTCGGTGGTGGTGGTGGACGAACGGGAACGAGGCGCCGCTGTTGGCGAGCGAGAGCGAGTCTGGCGAGACGGCGTCGACCGGGGCGAGCGACAGGGCCGAGGGAGGTAGCGCGCCCGACGTCGAGGCGGCGAGGAGCGACTGGGCGAGGAGGGCCGACGCCGAGATGGACGAGAACGCCGTCGACCTCGAGCTGCCGAGAAAGTCGTCGTCGTCGGTCGTGACGGCGCTCGACTCAACGCTGCCGGCGCGGCTCACGCCCTCGCTGCCGGCCCGGCGCACCTTCTTCTTCGACTTGCGGCGATGCTCGGCCGCCTCGCCCGTGTGGCCATCCGAGTCGACGCCCTCGCCCTCGTCGAGCGCCGTCAGGCGCAGCTTGAGGCGCGGGATCGAGCTCTTGGTCGGCGCCGACGACGAGCCCGACATGGACTGCGTGCGGCGGTGGTGCCCGCTCGAGGCCGAGACCGAGATTGGCGTCGGGGTCGAAGCGACGGCGGTGGCGGCGGCAGGAGCGATGGGGAGGGAGGATGCGGGCGCGATCGGCGGGAAGGACGTGACGGCGGTCGCGGCGGACGGTCGAGGGCCCGGGATGGCGAGCGGCGTCGTCGTGCCCGAGCCGAGAGGCGACGGCGCGGCCGGCGACGTGCCGCCGCCCATGGCTGCCATCATGGCGCTCGACGCGCGCCGTTTCCTCCTCCCGCGACCCATGCCCGCCTCGTCGGTCCCGCCCTCGCCCTCCTCGGCGAGCACGTTGCTGAACAAGGTCGAGCTGAGCCCGAGCGCGGGCGGCATGGGCGGTGCGGCGTGCTGGAGGGGCGCGAGCCCGCGCACGTAGACGCCGCCTTTTTCGCTCGGCGCGAGGCCGGCCTCGCGGCGGCAGCGCACGAACGGGTCGTCGCACCCAATGCCGGGGCCGAACACCTGCGGGTTGAGGTACCACAGGGTGCCGCGCTTGACGGCGGGTCGCTGCTCGGGGTGCAGGCCGACGGCGCGCACCTCGTCGGGCGTGAGCGCGCCGAGGAGCTCGAACGGCGTGAGGAGCTGCGTGTACGGCGGGCTCGACGTCGTCGCGCGCTGCACGTGCGTGCGGATGCAGGTCGAGACGTGCGCAAAGGGCGTCGTGCCGCTGCGAGACGAGAAAGAGGGGCGTCCAAGTCAGTGAGAGGGTACGAGAGAGAGACGGAGAGAAGGAGAGAGAGAGCGAACGGGGACGTACGCGTTCTTGAGCCAGCCTCGCTCGAGCATGACCTCGGCGACCTCCTTTGGGCACAGGGCGCGGTTCTGGAACCCGTGCAGGACGGCGCACGTGGCCATGAGGAGGCGGTCGTCGAGGTCGTCCGAGTGGATCTTGCCGTCCATGGCGGGCGTCGGGAAGCCAATGTCGTCGGGGATGAGCTGGCGCGGGTGACGCCGGCCGGACGACGACGTCTCGGGGACGTAGGCGTCGACGAGGGGGAAGGTCGGGACGCGAGAGAGGGGAGGACGGGCGCTCGCCGGGCGGTAGCCAGGAGGGGCGTTGGCGGGGACGGGCCACTGACGAGCGACGGGGTGTCGGCGGTGGGAGCTTGTGGCGGTGTGGGGGAGCTGGGAGGCTGCGCAGGCGAGTGATCGTAGGTGGCGTGGGGCGACAC